CCCCCCCCCCCCCCCCCTCCCCTCACCGCGCTATTATCCTACTCTGTCTGGCAGCAAACTGTACTCCTTTATCTTGGTCTTGCGGACAAAGTCATTGCAAAGGAGAATAATTATGCTAAATGAATGTACTCCTGCTTTATTGCACGTCAGAGAGAATGAGGGCAGGGGGTGGGGAGAAGTGGGCATTTAGAGTACTCCTCTCTGGACTGACTATAGCCTGCTACTCTATAGTACACATCTCAGCCTAATATTTTTTGCCACTGGAGCTGGTCAAATGTAATTGCATCTTTTCTAAAAGAGACCATACTGACGCCCGTGCACCTCGCTCGGGGCTCGCAGGCTCTCCGTTCGCAAGATAAAATAAATAAATAAAAATATCTTAAAAACAAACAACAAAAGCAGCAGGAACCAAATATTATTGCAGGTTATATAACTAAAGAAACATATGAGCTCTTTTTTAATCCCTGAATTTGGTAGCGTTTTACATTGATTGTACTTATAAAACTAAATAATGTGTCATTCTCGAAATTCTCATCACAACATGCCATTGCGACGCGAGGAGAAACCATTTCTTGATCACAATTACTGGCCAAATGGCCCACATGTACATGTGGTCAGCGGTACGGAAACCAACATGGCGGACCAGGAGGACGGAGTTCGTTGTTGTGCATATGGGAGGCTATGATAGATGTATCAGCGCTATACATAATGGCTCAAGTGAGAATACCTGGTCCCGGTGTTCTCCTTAAATCAAAGTAAGTTTGTTTGCCTCGTGAAAGTGTCAGACCATTAGGAAATCTGTCTGTTGAAACCGCCGATTCCGCTTGCACGTGTTTCATGAACTTAAGACTGACATATAGCTTATGATTTACCACGGAAGACCTTAGAAAGTCGATGCTCTTTTCTTGTTAGCTTTGACATTACGTCGAAAATTGATGCGTTCTACACTGGAGGCAAAGTTGAGGTAAGCTTAATTGTGAGACCTTTTCAACTTTATCCGACTACAGCTGTACATGCATGTAGCTATTCACGGAACAAACTTTAATATAAGCTTAGCTTTAATAAGCTTAAGTCCGTCATTCTATTTTATATCGATCCACATTCTTTCTCCCACATTGCCCTTTTTGACGGGGTAAGTACAGATTTAACCGTAAGGAAACAGATCAAATTGTCAATACGATGCCCCCCCCCCCGAAATATCCCGAGATTTCTTCACCCCCGTGAGATTAAAATGCCAACTTTCTACCAAACCCCTCGAAAATATTCAAAACATCAAACAATCTCATTCCCAGAGGTTAGAATCTTTTTGGTAACCACCAACAAATTGACCCATCTCTGAGAGTAAAATTTTGCAAGGTAATTGATGAATCAGCAGTTTAGTCAGGTAGCTTTATGCATGTTCAGAAATACAGTAGTTATTGAACATGAAGGCATGTGTAACAGAAGCAATCTTTTCTCTTTCTGGTTTCTGTTTTCATGCAGGGCAGCTTGCATTCTTCATCGCTGATCAATGAAAAAATTAAAAAGAAAGAGCAACCCTCTCAAAAGTGTTCAGGGATATTCCCCCTCTGTGCATCTTTAAAACACGTTTTAAAACACACCAAAGTTGATCACTTTTTCATATCAGCTACTGTACATAATGTAGCATGCATATAATCGCACATTTGACTGATGTGCATATGATCTTGTGTGCACTGGTTTTGAAATTAATAGTGCTTTTAGTGGACAGGTTAACAACTGTTTGCTGCTCTGTTGTCTTTTTAGTTTTCATCTGATGAAGATCACTTGTTCTGTACCTGTAATGACAAGATTCAGGTTGTTCAAATTCAGACGGGCAAGGTTGTTCAGACATTACAGGAGGTAAACTTTATTCAATGTAAGGTACATTTGTACCACATGATGATGGTACATGTATTTTTTATAATTCTAGAAAACATTTTCTGTGTTTTCTCTAATTATAAAAAATGCATGTACATGTACGTAGAGAAAGTGAATGTAAAATATATATTTAGTGTTGAAATTCCAGCTTTTGAAAGCCATTATAATTACAGTAATGTTATGTTCTAGTTTCAATTTGCATTGTCAATATATCTACTGAAATCAGTTTTCACTGTCCATGTAACATTTATGGGATACTGTTGATACCTTACTGCAGTTGGGTTTCATTCTTTCTTGGATTTAATATACACTGAAATTTTCTGGTTTTAAGGAAGGTGATGTTGTAAGCTGCTTTGCTTCAAGTCCTGATGACAAGGTACAGTATGAAACCGTTAAACGCATTAAAGGAGCTCAGTAATGGTATTTTGAGTTATTTTGGC